CCACCCCTGGAGCAGTTGTCGAAGTTGAGGTCCCCGCAGAGCACATCGAAGCCCACCACGTCCCCCCTGTTGCTGTGCATCTCCTGGAAGTGCTGCACCCAGAGCAGCGCCAGCCTCAGCTGCTCATTGCGGATGGCTGCGTCACCTGAGGGGGGGGCAGAGGGGGGCACCGTCACCATTTGGGGTCACTATCAGCATCGCCACCAGCATCAGCATCAGCATCACCATCACCATCAGCATCACCATCACCATTCAGCATCACCATCACCATCACCATTCAGCATCACCATCACCACCCGCATCACCATCACCTTTCAGCAGAAGCATCACCATTCAGCATCACCATCAGCATCACCATCATCATTCAGTGTCACCATACAGCATCACCGTCACCATTCAGCATCAGCATTCAGCATCACCATCACCATCACCTTTCAGCATCACCATCACCATTCAGCAGAGGCATCACCCTTCAGCTTTCAGCATCACCATCACCATCACCATCAGCGTCACCATTCAGCATCACCACCACCATCATCATTCAGCATACAGCATCACCATCAGCATCAGCGTCACCATCACCATTCAGCATCACCACCAGCATCACCATCACCATCATCATTCAGTGTCACCATACAGCGTCACCATCACCATTCAGCATCACCACCAGCATCACCATACAGCGTCACCACTCGCTGTCACCATCACCGCACACCATCAGCACACGGTGTCACAACACACGCTCACCATCACCACACACCACACACCATATGGTGTCACCGTCACCATACACCACACACGGTCACCATCAGCACAGTGTCACACACACACCAACACCATACGGTGTCACCACACACCGTCACCATCACCATCACCACACACCGTCACCACACAGTGTCACCACACAATGTCACCATATGGTGTCACCACACACTGTCACCATCACCGCACACCATCAGCACACGGTGTCACCACACACTGTCACCATCACCATCACCACACACCATCAGCACATGGTGTCACCACACACCGCCACCACACGGTGTCACCACACACTGTCACCATCACCACACACCGTCACCATACATCACACACCATCAGCACACGGTGTCACCACACACCGTCACCATACACCACACATGGTCACCACACACAGTGACCATCAGCACACGGTGTCACCACACACCGCCACCACACGGTGTCACCCCACACAGTCACCATACAGTGTCACTACACATCGCCATCATACACCACACACCATCACCGTCACCACACGGTGCCACCACACACGGTCACCATACGGTGTCTCCACACAACACCACCATACAGCACACACCGCCACCATACAGTGTCACCACGCACTGCCACCCTATGGTGTCACCACACACTGTCACTATACGGTGTCACCACACATGGTCACCATACACCACACGGTGTCACCACGCACAGTGACCATCAGCACACGGTGTCACCACACACGGTGTCACCACACGTGGTGTCACCACATATGGTCACCATATGGTGTCACCACACATGGTCACCACACACCGCCAGCACATGGTGTCACCACACGCAGTGTCACCTCACACGGTGTCACCACACATGGTCACCATACACCGCACACCGCCACCATACGGTGTCACCACACACTGTCACCATCACCACACAGTGTCACCACACACCATCAGCATGCAGTGTCACCACACATGGTGTCACCACACGGTGTCACCACACGCGGTGTCACCACACACCATCAGCACACGGTGCCACCACACATGTATCACCACACGCGGTGTCACCCCACACCATCACCACACGGTGTCACCACACAGTGTCACCACACATGGTGTCACCACACACGGTGACCATCAACACGCAGTGTCACCACACGCGGTGTCACCACACATGGTCACCATACACCACACAGTGTCACCACACACAGTGACCATCGGCACACGGTGTCACCACGTCACCACACATGTGTCACCACACACGGCATCACCACACGTGGCGTCACCACACAGTGTCACCACACGGTGTCACCACACACAGTGTCACCACACACCATCAGCACATGGTGTCACCACACACGTGTCAGCACACACAGTGTCACCACACACAGTGACCATCAGCACACGGTGTCACCACACACAGTGACACCACACACAGTGTCACCACACACCATCAGCACACAGTGTCACCACACATGTCACCACACACGTGTCACCACACACGGTGTCACCACACGGTGTCACCACACGGTGTCACCCCCCCCGCCCCACTCACGCTCGGGCGCCTGCAGGTGCGTGCAGCTCACGTAGCCCAGCAGCCGGCAGCCCGAAACATGGCCCAGGCTCACCTG